TTTAAGAACAATGCTAGAGCTTATTCGTTATTTAAGACTGATATATTCACTGAGGAAACCTTTTTAAAAGAAAAAAATACGATCGATCTAAGAAGTTACCTACTTTTCTGCAGTCGATATTAGTTTTCCTCGATGTTACTTATTTAGACTACAATGGTTTTGTAGGATGATGACGAAGGAAATATAAAGTCAATAAAACAACGGGCGAATCATTGGATACACTGAAAATCAAAGAGAAGTTTTTCGAGTATCTATTATGTTATTTTGTTTCTTTTTCTTGCTACTTTCCAGAAGAACCTGCGTTTGATAAATGAAGTAATGGAGTATTTCCTTACATCATTGTCGCATCTGCATAACGTTGATTTTTTTCACATCAGTAATGTCACCAACGCGCATGACAAGTGCTTGAAAATGAGTCGTAGATCATTGTGTCTTACTCCGTTGTATCGAAGGAATTTTACAAAAAGACACACAAAAACACATTTAGATAATTTAGAGCTAGGTAGAGTGGAGCCGAACAATGAATCAAACTGCATAATTCAGTTCTTTCGTCCTTCGAGGGCTCACAAGTCATACCAAGGGTCTGAATTGTGAAGCTTAGGAGGCGACTAAGGAAAATCCAAAGTGATCAAAAGCAAAAGTAAAAATCTAGACCAGGAGAAATAGCAGCGCCATAATTAAATACATTTGTTAATTTTCATATTTTTTATTTTAGAACGTCGTCAAGAATATGTGTATTTTCTGAACCATGCTAATATTCGAACCACGGGAATTCGATCAGCAATGTCTATCAAGTGATAACTTAAAATATTCGACGAAAGACACACAAGGTAATATAGAGTAGAGCCAAACAATGGATCTGACTACATCATACAGTTGTTTGGTCCTATTAGAACTCGTCAGTAATGGTAAGGGTTTAAATTTTTGAAGCCAAGGAAGCGACTACGAAAAAAGTCCAAATCCACATGAGGAGGTACAGCAACCCCATAATTACATACATCGAACCCAGCTTTGTGCTTCTATATTTATTTTAATCAATCATGTCCGTTACCGACAGCATACCTGTACATTTCATTGTATATGTAGCTGGCGGTTTCAGCGTAAAAGATGTTAACTTGTTGCAAACATTTTTGCACTCCTCGAAACGATCGGCAGGGATGTGATTATAGCGTACTTGATCCTTTGTGAGGATAATTGTGGATTCGTTTTACAGTCACTAAAATATCAGTTCGCATTACATTGAACAGCTCTTCCTGTAGAAACAATAAGCATAAACTATTCAAATAATGAATAGTTGGATCATTTGACCTTGTTTTTCCGTGTCCTTTAATAGTTTAATGTCTGTTTTCTTTTATTTAAATGCTATTCTGTAATGTTATGAAACGTGTGTAGATATTTGACGAATATATTACGACTACAGGCTAATTAAAGTGCTGATATAGATTAGAAGTGTTGTGAGTGACATTTTCTTGACTTCGTGTTTAAAATATGATACTATAATTATGTATAATGATACCATCAATTATGTTATTGCATTGATGTGTAAATGCCCTCAAATTATTTCAAGGTGACAAATTTACATAATCCTTAAAGTTGCCTTGTACAAATAAATTACTCCTTCATCGTCTTTTTTATCTGCTCATTTTTGTTCACCTGCTATGCAGGTATTTTCAAAGACCACCTTATAACCTGTTAGACAGTTTGCAAGCCTTATATACATAGGTATGACCTTACACGTTACCAAGCAAGAACAATGTCTGCCACTTTCTTTAGATACGCCTTTGAACAAGTATTCGAACAATTCAAAAAAGTTTATTTCATTGTCTTCTTTGTAACATAAGTGCGGCTCAAGATCGAGTTTAATGTTCTGATTTCTATACGCTTGGTATATCGTTAATTCAGCCAGTACATGAGACTGATCAAACTGGGGATTTTCATGAAGACCAGTAACAGTGACAGAAATTACAATCAGATTATTTTGTAACAACTACAAATAAGGTAAAGATTAATACAAGGGAGACTTATTTGACTTCAGAACAACTTATCACGTGGAATGTTTAAGCAAATTATTTTCAAGAGAAAGACACTGTTTGTAGTTAGTATAGCTAATAATGGAAAAAGGACCATCAAAAAATAAGTTTTGTTGATTTATTTTAATTTCTGATGATACATATTGCCGTTTTTCTAAGTTATGAATACAATTTTTTACGCTTAAAATAATGTCCTGTTCGTGATTCCTTTGTGTCATGTTTTTCAGCTTCCATTGAACCTGTAGCTATCTGAATTAAGTTGTATGTAGAGCAGTCAACGTTTCCATTAGTTTTGATTTTGTTTTTCAGTGAAGAGGGATATGGTAATCAGTGAATTTGTCCACATTACATTTAGTAATCACACATCGATGTCAGTCGTGAACTATAGATGATGTCCTGTTTTAATTATCGCCTGTGTATTGGACACAGTCAATAGAGCTCACTAATCTATCTCTAGAACTCACTCATTTTTATATAAAGGTCACTTAAGTCTCATTGGAGGATTACAACGCTTTGTAAGTAGGTGCTCACCAGTCACTATAGGTCACTCATATGGGAATAAAGGTCACCCATCTTGCAGTATAGGTCACTCACCGGTTAGTAGAGGTGAGTTGCATGTCAGTACAGGCAACGTATCCGTGACTAGAAGTTACTAGATGTTAATCGTTTTATCAGACATGTGCCTAACTTGACTATGAAGAGATCAACCTCATATACTTAAAAGCTTAGTGTTAGTTGATTGCGTGTTAGTTGAAAACGTAGAGGCAATATCTATATTGTGTGTTTATATAGTGTTCGTTGATATCACCAACTCACTGGTGTCTTCTCACTTAGCCAACATTTTGATTTTTGGGGTATACAGGTAAGGTATTGTTGGCCAGGTGAGACTAGGTGTGAAAGGTAGAACAATAGGAGATAATTACAGGTAAGGCTATAGACTGCTTCATAAAACTTCCTACTTTCAAGAGAAAAATAACTCTGGATATTGAAGAAATACATGTATTTTTATTTCACATTCAATACATTTACAGTATTAACTTACTAATATACCCTATATATAAGAAACATAGCTACTATTTTAAATTATAGACAAACAGGAATATCAGAAAGAATACATATATCTACTATTTTTCAATTACAGAATCATAGAAAAACATAAAAATATAAGAAAGTACACGTATAGCTACTATTTTTCAATTACAGAATCATAGAAAAACATAAAAATATAAGAAAGTACACGTATAGCTACTATTTTCCAATTACAGAATCATAGAAAAAACATAAAAAATATAAGAAAGTACACGTATAGCTACTATTTTTCAACTAGTTCAATTATTTATGTATAAACACATATATAGACACATAAAGTAGCCAGATTTCAAACGTCCTTTTGAATAGAAGTATTATAATGTTCTGTGCATCTATAACATGTATTAAGATTACTTATTAGTAATTAATGATAAAAGCTTATAAAAGGTGTTCCCATACAAAAGGAAATGAATTAATTCATTTCGGTACTAGAATGTTTTTTTCGCAACAGAATTTTTCATAACTGATAATTCTTTTTTATGCAACACATGCAGTTTATTGTTGGGAAGCAGCATCAGCATAACCGAGCACATCAATATGTCCATTTCTGTATTGTTCCTTTAGTTGACAAAGGCGGAAGTCTATGTGGCGGTATTTCCTCTTCTTTGGTCTTGGTCTACCTCCGGTCGAAGGTTGGATCATCTTTGCTGCATCGGTAGTCTGATTTTTCTTTAGAAGCTGAACAGCCGCAAAGATGTTCGGGTGCGCATGCTGACAGAACTTGTTGACCCTGCTGTGCTATCCCTCAACATGATTTGTTGTCCGTGGGCCATCGTTGTCATAGTGGTTCTACAAAGCTAGTGGCCGGGCACGGTCTCTGTACACATCTCCAATCAACTCTATCATTACGTCTGGTCCTGACGGAAAACTTGTAGTCTGCATGAAGAAGATAGTATCCACCCCTTCCATTTTCTATGACGTTGATGTTGGCCTGTGCATGAGCCATAATTGAATATGAACGATTTGAGAATATGAACATGAGCGCAAGACCTTTGATATGTTTTATCTTAATTCCAACCCACCCAAGCCAAGAAGAAATGGTAACACCCATCCAAGTTTTAATGTCTTCTTTCATCACATCCATGTTTTAATTAATATGAGTTACAACAACACTAGGTACACAATTACCATTATTTCACGAACGGACTATCAAGTGATAAAACAACATTTAAGCAATTAATGTTAACAATATCTAAATGTATTTAACAATTCTATCAATTATGTAAGTGATTAACAGAAGACACAACAACATCTGATAGGACATTATATATTTTAGAATTACTGGTAGCACGAAATAATATTTTTTTTTGCGTTTTCAGTTCTAAATCTGTCATTTTGAAAAAAATAATATTGATTAAAACACTTGTAAATACATTTCTTATTGATTTAAACTCTTGAGATTAAGATTTTAGAATATATTACATAATGCATGTAGATTTTAGTACATATATATTGAGTAATTGCAGCAAACATTTAAGACTTCAATATGATTTCCTAAACGAATTGATTTAAATCGTTATTTCATAAATCATATTCAACTAGTCATTTTTTATATTTTCTGTCAAGAAAAGTAGGAACAGACTATAACTGAAAATGAATCAGGTGTAAAATTTGACATGTTGGCCAAGTAGTACAGATAAATTTCAGAATGTTGGCTAAGTGAGAATGAACCTTACCTTACTTACTCAAAACTAAAATTATCAAGTGATGTCAGATCACGTTTGTACATTTTATCATTGGTCACTGGTGTATTGTTATTTGAGCTCACGTTCTAGAATATATGTATAGTAATGAAGTCAGATTATCTACAGGAGTTGTTTCCATCTTTGCAAAAACCTAGCTTTTACGTTCAGGTGATATATCTACAAAACAATTACAGCTATGCCAGGTTATGACTATATGGACGACGATTGGCGGCGATTAGGGGTATGGGGACGATATCAATGCATTCAGATAGTTCTTCAGTTAACTACGGTGATATCTGAGGCTTTGCATCTAATGGTTATAGTCTTCATAGGTAGGTACATATGTAGGCGTTGTTGTTACCTATTAATATCTAATCAGCTGGTATGCGATTTTTAAAAAAAAATATTTCCTGGTGTGTGACATTTTAATTTATAAGCTGGTGTGCGACCGTTTAAATATTTACATGTGTGAAAATGTTTACTTAACCAGCTGGTGTGCGACTGTTGAAATATTTCCTGGTGTGTGACATTTTAATTTACCATGAAGTGTTAAGACGCGACTGTTTGAATATTTGCATTTTTGAGACAATTTAATTTGCCAGCTAGTGTGGGACTTTTTAGATATCTGCTGGTAAGCGACAACTGTCTTTTTCTGCTGATGTGGGACTGTTTAGATATCATAGACGTTCATATTCTACAGTGTGTATATGCTGGGTTTCACGATATTTTGAACCAGCGAAGTTGAATCTCTGCAAGTACCAAGCAATATAAGTCGAGTACATAATATGATGGGTATTATATTTATATAGCAAACCGCTCCTCACCCCTTGGACCGTATCGTTCGGTAGTTCGCCCAGGTGAATAAGAAGCTCACCATACGATTATTACGGAAGACCACGAATATCATACAAAACATAAAGCAAGCATAAGGAATATAAAGGTTTAGAATACACACGAGGTAACTCTATGAGATAATTTTGCCTTTGAATAGTTACATTTATGGTACAATCATCAGTAGATAATCTTACTGGCAGTCTTACTAAACACAGTTAAGAAAGGCGAACAAAGTCTTCATTCCATTTTCATTGAAATAAAATTCATATTTGAATAAATGATTTACATACATGTTTATGAATTCAGACAAGTGTATTTAGATCCTTAGAAGTACTACAGTATTGTAATACATGGCATATTTTTATATGTCACTAGATTAAGATAACGTAGTGCAAGGGAAACAACTCTTTACGGTATATAGCGTTGACAATATAGCACGGGCCATATGATGATATGATTGGAGAGAGAGATAAGTGGATAAAACACAGAAAAAAAATAAAGAGAGAAAAAAAGGAATAGAACGAAATATCAAGATACCAAGTGTTCCAATAGGAGTAGTAGATATTTTAATACCTTCAATGCTTTAAGAACATGCATTGGAATACAGCACATTAACAGATGCACTCCTTCATAATAATAAACTTTATTTATTTTACAACAATAACGCAACAAGTTTTTCCAACTTATATTAATCACTCTTGTTGGCTCGGATGGAAGCGCGCGAGAGGTCTTAGTGTGGGATGAAACCGGAGTACCCGGGGAAAACCCATGTGGTCGGGCAGGTGACCCTATGCCTTTTCACATCCATTCCGGGAATCGAACCCCGGACGGCTAGGTGAGCTCCTTAGAGAAGATATGAGAGAAAACACATAGATGAATGATTATTAATCATTAGCCTAAAAGTCTTATCAAGAGATGGTCATTATCTGTTTTTCAGGCTTCCCAGAACCAACCTAACTCTTTGCAAAATATTTCAGGAATGGAACATCTAAGCAGTCCTGTAATCATTCCTAAAGCCTGTAGTTGTACCAATTCTTATATTTGATACTTAATTTTGTTTATGGTCGAGAACATGTATGTCATCAATAAAAATCATTCTACCTGCAAATATATTTGTAATTGAAAAGTAAGTAAATTTGGCTTTAAAAGTAAAACAATTCAACAGTATCAATTGATAAGGTCTTCTGTTCATATACATAAACATTGTATTATGAACTAATGCCAAGGGCAGTATAAAGGTCACCGAATGTCAAGCTGATGATTGATATTTTGTATTCCTTATTTTAACGTTCAAGCTTCATGACAAAGGCATTATATTGGTCAATAACGATCACAAGTCTAATCAGAGTCTAATTTCTCTTCAATGCCAGTAAATATCAGATATAATTGACGTTAGTAATTAATTAAATTATTTGATTTATGGTTTTATATCACATTTGTTTCCATTCAACTAGTCAAATATATTTCTTCAGTTAAGTTTGAAGTAATGATTACATTGAAATAAAATATTCTTTATATGAAAAATAAAAAACAATCTGCTATTCTCTCCGAAAGTTAAAAGGCAGAAGCTAACCATGGGTTACTCCTGGTCATATGGTTATGCAATATATACCATGTAAAACACCTTCATGGGTCCCTTGCAGCAAGACAGAATCATTTGCCCAAGCACAAGGATACGTCTAATTAATATATACATTACAGCGGTTTATTTGCCTATATAACCTAACATGTTCCCGTGATTTCGCCCGCAGAATACTAACAAGTCAAAACAAACACATGATAAGTGATCAAAGCTTAACGTAAATAGTAATTTTGAGCTATTTTGGAGTGAGGATACATATCAGCAAAGTTTTAGAATATTCTATTTCCGGTCTTTTTATGCAATCGGTTGCGTAAGCTGCTAAAGGAGTATATCGGACCAATACTCTATACCTGTACGAAGTGTGGAGAAAACAAGGTATATAAGGCTGATAAAAGTGCATTCAGATAGTTCTGCAACTAACTTCGTCCTTGTCCAATGGTTGCAGTTGTTATAGGTGTAGGTAGTCCTTTTTTTATCACAATTTGATATCTTTGCAACAACATTTCAACATACCCTTTAGGGATACAGTGATTTATACCATGAACATGTTTGTCAGATATACACTTATTTGATTTAAGTATTACATGCATCATAATACACGTACATGTGAACATTGATATAATTTACAGCATCAATTTGTAATATTACAATACTTTGTATCATGTTTAAAGCGCGTTCAGATTTTTTCCAGTTGAAAGATATATTATTTCAATTTGAATTTAAGCCAAGGGTCAATAAGAATAGTATTTGTTTTTATCAATATCAAATATTTTCATTGCTAACTTTAATGTTCCAGTCTTCTGTCAGATGTCAATGTGTCGGTCAACAAGAGTCACGAATCAAATTTGTCTTCAATATCAGTCACCATTGTATGTCAATTGTATTGATTATCAATAGTAATAATCGATTGAATATATATTTCAGGTCAAATATTACATATTATAAAGCTTTAAATACGCAATACTCTATCCTTACTTTTCCTTCCACGACTCTGTATTTATATACAGCTGGAGGCTGAATATTGGCTATACCTAGGTTCATAATAAATTAGTACCATGTACACACCCTTGTTTGTTCCCTGTAACGACCTACATGTACATTCATAGCATAAACCACTGAAACCTCAGACAACACAGAGGCATTTGCTATATACACGAATTTTTATATTAGCATTCTAAATAAGTACAATTTTTGAAAATTAACCTTATCATGTAATTAAAAAAAGACTAACGGTCTTATTTGTTCATCGTTTAATAAACAAAACTCTGAAAAAGACTATACTTTGTCAAGGATTACGAACCTCTTCACATAATACAATGTTTTGAATTAATGGAAAGCATCATACAGACCTTCATCTAATTCAGAAGGTTTTATCACTGTTCGATGGATTTCAATGTGTTTTTATTCTTTGCTAGTGCGCGATTGTTTATAGCATTTTCTTGTTTTCTTTCTTCTGGGCTGATACTAAGGGTCAAATTTGTAACAGATTGGCAAAAAACTGGTATTGCTAATGTAGTTATTAATGTGTTCAAAAGTAATGATGATACTGACACGGGAAATCAGATATGATAAAAACAACTTCTGAAACAGAATATAGTAAATAAAGCAAGAGACGATTAGCTTTTCTGAACACCTGGTCCAATTTTCCTTCAATTTGGGTTTAACTGAAGATACTGGTAACATATCGGCGTTTCCTTGTAATTACCCATACGGGCAAAATGATTACTTGTTAAAATGTGTGGGAGTACTTGTTTATAAAAGTGTAGAAGTTTTCACTTTTGTCATTTTGTTTGATGTACTTAAACCACTTTAAACTCATAAATATAATTTGTAATCACACAAACGTCAAGGATTAATATAGTTTGGTCATACCTTCATACATATACTTCAAATGGAATAGTGTTGAGAACCCCAACCCTAACCCAGATTTGAATTGTTGCTTAATATGATAATGCATCCTATATTATAACAATCTATGTATCAATTGCTGGTAAATTCATGTTCATTTGGATCCGAACGAAGTCAGAGGAAAACAAGAAAACAATTGTCTATTGGCAGACTAGCTGTGATAAATTTATGTCATAACAACGTATCACTGATTCTAATCTGAAGTTGGACATGTTTGATACTCGTTAGTTTGCCTGTTGTTTCCGTTGTAATAAACCTTTTTTTTAAATTTAGAACAGAACATTACTTACTTGATCAAACCAAGGTTTACATGGCGAGTGTCGTTAAAGAAGCAGAAGACGCTTACTCTACCGGAACACCTGATCTTATTATTCCTTATTCTTTTTCAGGAGTCTCCGTGAGAATCTTTCGTTTGTTTATATATTGCCGTGGTTCTATTGAATTTGACAGGTTGATATTTTAAACTGAATTGCTTATGCCTTAGGATATCGTCCATCGTATCGGTGTGCCGACCTTGTGAATACAACCATATACGACATCCCGTCCAATGTCAGTTTTACACATCTGTACCAGACATGTCACATCGATGTCACAATGAATAACACAAACACGACTCTGATGACCTTGTCACCATGTCCTGAAGGATATACGTACGATTTGGAGAAGACTCGAACGTTTGTTACAGAGGTAAGTAGTATGTATGCGTAAGTCTAGAGAAAGATTGAACGCATACGATAACAAAACTTTAATTATATAAATATATGTACAAACGGATGGAATATATAACTATTGTGATGTGTTAAAGCGACTGAGGAAACCAAAACTGAAAAAAAAGCACAAATATCAATTCAAGAGGAGTACAGACCCTGTGATTCAAGTAGAATACTTTCAATATTTGATGATTTCAACAAAAAGAGCATATGCTTTTTTGGATCTCGTCACCATTTAACTAAATTACTACGTAACATTTGTGATAAAACAAACCGCAAAAGACAGTTTATTGGATAATTATAATAATGTCGGTTAGTACTTGGTGTGTGATGAAATACAGTCAAAATGGATTAAATTGACTTCGAGCTTTCGTCAGTAATATTAGGGATCAAAACCATTTATGTTATATTTTCTGACAAAGTGGGATCTTGTCTGTGATGGCGCGGAAAGAGCAGAGGTGTCTCAGATGTTGATGCTGGTTGGACAGATGGTAGGTGCGGCCTTCTTACCACAATTATCCGATAAATATGGACGGAAGGTGATTTTGGTCACCTCACAGATCGTTCTGTTTGCCTCCGGAATCGGCGCGTCTCTTCTCCCCAGTTTTACATACTACATCATTATGCGGTTTATCTGTGGATTGGCACATCAGGTATGTGAATTCATATTGTCTTATGTAAACCGAAAAAATAATGTTCTTAATATGTTATCTGGACCAGGACTTCAATTTTTCTTTTTTAACTTTTCTTCATCAATTTCTAGTAATACATATTTTTTTTTATTTATCACTCCATATAGTATCTATTATTTAGATATCTGATGTAATCTTATTTTCAAGTCCGCGAAAATTTATCTCGAATTATGAAATCTGAAATCTTAGTTGAGAATTTTTCTATACATGTATGTCTAATTGCAATATTATATGTTGCTATTCATATCGAGTCAAGAGTTCGTTTGATAATACAAGTTTCTTGCGTATAGTAGAACATATCAATGGTTACAAAAAATAATCAGTAAGAAAGAGATAGAAATGATAGAAAGATGAAAATAAGAAACAAAAATAAAATGATAAAAAACGAACAATGAGCTATTTATGCTTTTTACATTGAAAAAAGTAGTAAATGGCTCGGAGAGCTGATTTCATAATTCGATAGATGTTTAGCAAATAGTGTATAATAGCTAAATGATATAAATACATGACAAATGACTGTCGTGTATACAGTTAACTGTTCATACTACACATTTATAAAACTACGCAAGTGAAGTATTAACTTGAATTTTTGTATCAATCGAGTGTCGATCCTCCTCCAACTGCTTCGGCATGTTTTATGATAAAACTGAGCTGTGTGGCAAACATTATCATTGTTATTTTTGAGACAGATATCAACATGTTCAAGAATAAATCTTACACTGCTGCAAATTTTATCAAATTTATTTGATATCCGACAATTCTCTGGAATGTATCAAATGAATTAAACGTGACAAAAAAACCTTCTTCACAATATAGATAACTCCTCTGATCCTACGTATCAATCACACCCAGAAAGAAGAATTGATATTTAATTCTACTTTCCTTAGATTATCATTAATCGATATGCAATTTCTTTAAAAAATTTGTCTATAACGACGACAGTACGAGATCAATTCAATGTGTAAATGGTAACATCTGATGAATTCCACAGATGAAATAATAATTGATAGTGAATTACATTAATAAAGCGGTCGTTGAATCACAAAAAATGAATTTGTATGAATGTTAATAAAACTTTATGGCCGTAGCTATTGTGTTTATTATTACAGGGAATGGCTACGGCTAGGGCTGTGATGAGTGTTGAAATTTTACCAGAGGAAAGTCGATACATGGCAGAAGTGCTTGGCAGTACAGCCTGGGCTCTAGGATTATGTATGATTGCACCAGTTGCTTATATCATGAAGGATCTGTCCTGGAGATACCTGTATCTTGTCCTATCGTTAATGACGATTCACAGTCTTCTCGGATTTTGGTATGTTTTGGTAACATCATATTGATAAAAAACTGACGATTTTTTATTAATGCGTTGCTTTTTAATGTTTAAAAAAATATATCTGTTTTTGTTTTATTTCTTTGACAACAAGTGAAAAGACGAAGCGTATTCGAATAGAAAGATGATATACATTGTTCTTAATATCACTCACAAAATTGATCAAACGCAACCAGCAATGACATATATGATGATATAATTTAAGCATGTATTTACATAAAGCTAAATTTATGGAATGTCAAATCTATATAGACATGTCATAATTGAACATACAAAATATCTAACCTTTTTGGGGGGTATGTTTTCATCTAAGGACCTTTGACGAATCTGTTCGTTGGCTCCTCTCAAATGGAAAAATACAGCAAGCGAAGACATTGTTGAAAAAGGCTGCAAAAATGAACAAAGTCAATGAGATGGAAGTATTTCATCTTGTTGATAAAACTACACCCATGATTTTAGCAGCAAAGGAACCAATGACGGAGCAAGGGGAAAGTGATATTGATGATGCCAAAAAGGAAAAGCGGAAAGAAATTATTTTGGAGCAGCCACAAACAATTTTACCAAAATACACGGTATTGACTTTATTTACACGGCGTCGTCTGGCAATGATTACTGTTATCATGACATATACCTGGTGAGTTAATATCATAAAGTAGTTAGAAGACATGTACATCAGAGATGGACTCATTGTAAAATGTATTGTTTATTTTGTCGTAGATTGTGTATACTGAACATGTTGTTTTACTACTGATAAATATGCAATCAATACTAACTTGGTTTCTGTTATACATATCCGATCCTTGCGAAGGTTAGATTTTATAACATTTGATAATGTGTCCAACATAGATGTTTTCAGGTATGTCCTGGAAACGGTTTGGATGAGAGAAATGGAAATTAAGGTTAAAAAGGAGTTCACAGTCAAGTGTTAGGAGTATTTTCACTTTTAATTGGTGATAAAATCCTGCATGATGAAATAGCTTGAGCCAAATTGCTGGTTGCTTGCGTGTTAGACAATGCCACTGTTAATACTGTAAATTAAATAGTATCTTACATTCGGTTTCATTTCATGTCAGAGGCTGCACATGCTCCCCGGTTAGAACGTTGGCCTGGGTAACCTCAGATTAAGATCTGAGGTGCTTGGTTCGATGCCATCTATCCGTAACGGTTTGTGCTTCTCGTAAAACTGAGAAATGAGTTAGGCTGTGTTGATGTGATTGTGACTTCGGGTAAGACGGACCGCCGTATGTTCCAGAGAGGTAGCCACCAGCTACTACAGGAGATCCACGCCTAAAAATCACACTGAAAATAAAAAGCAGACAGTTGAGACTTGATGAAATGAGTCTTGGACGATTTTGTTTTTTGAGACAAGTTTTATAAAGTCTCATATAACATAAAATTTTGTGATTTTGTTTACCGTGTAATTCGGGAAAATACTTTTTATAGGTTAAAATGTCAAAATTTAGAAAACTAAATAAAATGGAAAAAAACATTTTGAAGTGTCATCTACAATAACAACGTAACGTCATTGTCAGTATTATTATAAGTGATATCACAATTTATTTTTTCACTGGCGCAGCCACTGTTTCAGGGTATATAACACTAGTGACATAAGCAAACATATAAACACGAATTCAGTGGATAATCGGGGGTGATTTTGTGATAAAGATATTTCATATTTTTCTGCTACAGGACTGTCAACAGCCTGACTTACTATGGATTGTCTCTTTCATCTGCCTCCCTGCCTCTAGATAGATTCTTAAGCTTTTTCCTCCTTTCTATCGCGGAACTACCAATACCAGTGATAGAATATTTCACATTTAACAGGTAACTGTCATACTCTTGATATCTAAATAGATGATACGTTCCTCGAAGGATGAAAAAATAATGAATGATGCAGTTTAATTCATTCTTTTTTCTGTATTGTAACCGATTCTAAATTTGCAGTGGAAATTGCTATTAACTTTTGTGTCTATTGTACAGTTTTTTAACAGAATACAGATATAATAGCCATAAGTACATGTGTCGGCAATCTTGACATGCTCATGTCCATTCTTTTAAAACTGCAGCAAGTTACAAATTAATATATTATACATATTATATGAATATATTGTTTAAATTATGTTGTTTTAAACTTTTGAAAACTGTTTGAACGTGAAAACAGTTTTCAACAGTTTCCAAGTTTAAAAATCGTAATGATAACAAAATATCATTAACAGATCAGTACTTTATCCTTGAATCTACAATTTTCATCACTGAATTTATCATTCATTGATTTATATCCAGTACTATGATCTTTGTAACAACTTAAAGTAGAATATTGAGCTATACAGAGTGAAAATGATTGTTGTATTGTTTTCAAGTTTGACGTTATCGCAACCACTACGATAACAGGAAAACAGATTGGTATAGAAAAATCTGCCACCACTCAAAGACGGGCATTTGTTTATACAATTGTATTGCACCGTCACAACGATATGTATTTAACAAAGTATGTGTAGGACATGCCAAACGGTCAAATCGTTATAACAACAAGCTGAAAACTGAAAGAGAGGCAGAGAGTACTATACATTTTAAATATGCAGACATTTGTTTGAATTGGCCAATTGGAATGATAACCTGCGTTGATGTAGGCTCAGTGCTAGGACAAAAAGAAGATGAGAAGCTAATTCGATGTCCTTTGGAAACGTTTCTTTTCTTGATGCAGCAGCTAAAGAATTTGCTGTGTTGTCACTATGAATTTTAGAATATCTACAGAAGTTTTTTTTTAGAATGCATAACAATAAATATCAACATTCAACACAAATAATGAATTAGACTGCACTATACAGTTCCTTCTAGGTATGTCAATCCAGACGGCAGATTTGCAAAACCAATATCTATCGAAAATTAACAAAAGACGCACAAGTCAATAACACCTTGCAATACAAATTTAGATTTTGCTGAATAACAAACTTAACTACATCATACAGCTTGTTTGTCCTTCTACAACTCATCAGTGATGCTACATCATATAGCTGTTACGTCCTTCTAGTGATGCTAACGGTATAAATTGCTAGTTCCCTAGACTTAGGGAACTCCAAATTGCTCGAAGTAGATATCAACCACAATATCAAAAATATTCTTTCAAAGGAATATCAAGTACATGATTATGTTACCGTAGAGTTTAAACATAGATAATTAAATGAGAATTAGAAAATATTTATAAAATTCTGACTTTTTTCTTGCCAAAATGTATTAGTCTTTTACATCATTTGTTGAGCTACTTAACTGTGACGTTTTTTACATGGTTCAGACTAGGTAGAAAGAAATTGTGTATCATATTCCATGCCGTAGCAGCTGTAGCCCTTATTGCGGGAACTGTCGCAAATTATTTATCAGGTAAGAAATAATAATTACTTATGATATCAAGAGCATATCTTTTCCACTTTTTCATTGTGTAAATGTACTAACGGTTGGAAAAATATCTGGCATGATATATACCACTTGTGGTAGATGACCTTTCGGTCTTTTCATTGGTTGAGACGTTGACTTTTGACGCTTCACACGCAAATTTGCGAAAATGAAACCAGCAATAAGTTGTTCACGACTCCTTTCCGAAAATATGATTTCGTGTTGATTTCTATCAAATTATTGCTTTGTAGATGATAAAATATAACGTTTTCACATGTTTCTGAAATCGTCAGCTTTGCATATTTATAAGCGTCAATTCGCTATGTGTCAAACCGTTGCGTCCCAACTGATGTCATAAGCAAACCACACATTGGAATAGCTATCTATTGTATGTGGCTGTTATATATGATATTTCTTTCACTTTCGTTAACTATTTTCAAACGTTTCAAAAACAATTCCTAATGCTCGTACTTTTTGCAATTTTCGAACAATTATTAACGCGAGTGAAAAAACAATCTATTCATTATACATTTAAGGAGGCATATATGTATGTATACACACTGTGCGATCATCACTCTCCTTCTTTCAAATGTTCAAATGTGTTTATTATGTTCAAAGTGACATGAATGTATATGAATAAAATTATTTCTGTGTTTGATCTACATACGCAAATAATTTTGAATTTGCCATATCGTTTATTGTTTTGTTTTGTTTTTTTTCCTCTGGTGATTTTTTCTGGGTTCAAAAATTATCTTTTACAAGCAGAAGATGAATCAGAGAAGATATGCTTTGTAATATACAGCAGTATATCGTGATTATTATCTCACGCGTAACACAGACAGTAAAAAAGGGATATTTGGGATAGCATAATCACGTTACACCACCGAGCTGGCAAATTAAATCTCGAGAAACTAAAAAACAAAAAAAAAAAACATCAGACGTGTGACTAAAATCCGTGAAAAGGCGGTTATTAAATTTAAACTACTTTTGTTGTTTTCATTTATGTGTTATGTGTGTTTATTTTCCTGAAAAGATAGAAAAGGTGCTGACATAGCTGTGATGGTATTTTACTTTCTCGGGAAACTCGGCATCGCTGGCTCTTTCAGCACACTTTTTCTCTTCACTCCGGAGCTGTATCCTACTAACCTCAGGTCAGCATTTTATAATACTCTATATGTTAAAATCTTATAAAAGTTACTTTTTAAATGTACCATTTATATGATAATATAGGTGAAATGTACCGCCATTGTGCTTCAAAATTTTGGTAATATTAAAACAAAATAAATAAATATGTAAGGAAAATAACTTTTACACTATATGATATTAACCATCTTTGATGCAATATGACTTAACATATTCTACTGGAGTTAGTTCCCCTACTGTTACAGTAACTTTAAGAAACACAATAGTTTTCCTTTTTGTAAACATCACTGGAAACGTACCATGTAAGGTTATATACATATATAAGTAATGAGTTGTGAAAAAAAATAAATACAGAACAAAAAATACATAAATGATTAAGTCGTGTATTGTAAACTGTTTTTACAAACATAAGTGATAAATGTATTATTATATTGAACAGGTATGCTCTTTGGAATGTAGAAGCTTACCTTTTTTCATTGCATGGGCATGTACATTTTTGTACTCAATGACAGCTGAATAAAAACAAATAACGTTTAATGTGTTACCGATGACCACTTAAACAGGCTTTCGGCCTCATAGACAATTGCCCGCAAGTAAACACACCAATCAATTCAGATTTTCAAGCGGGGAAAACCAATAGAGATAAGAGAATGTTCACAATTGAGATGGCGTTGTCATTTTCACATTGATTGTGTACATGTGTATTATAAGCGGTGCCACTATAAGTTGTAAATATTATGTTGGTATATCAGCGTACAATGCAACAAATGATTTTAGAAGAAAAAAACAAGAATTATTTGACGTTGTCGGACAAAGGATCGCAAATAATTGGTTTCGCGTTAATCAAGTTATTTGATTAGCATACAAATAGTGTGATATAGGTCTCACAACTATGATATACTGATATAGAAAAGATAAGTGTCGTTACACATGATTTTCACATTAACATCATACAGCAGTTTCGTCCTTTTAGGACTCGTCAGTGATACTAAGTGCCTATATATTTGGCCTAATATGACTTATATTCCACCAACAGTGTCTATCGCCTTCAATTTATTATACAATAGACATTTAAGTGCATAGTGCATTTCAATGCATATATAAATAACATATGTTTATGTATAAATATAATTTTTCATTATTCAGGAATGTTGGCATAGGATTTGCTTCTGCTGCCGGAAGAATAGGTGGAATGTTGGCACCATTTGCTGGTCCGCTTGTGAGTATATTTTCTAAAATTGTGATGCATATCATAAAACAGAAAAACAAGAAAGAAAGAAAAAATAACTTCATTTGTATTATGGAAAAAAAATAATCAAGAAAATACCATCATAGCAACATAATCATAATCCAAACTCAGATTCAATCAAATTAGGGCAAAACATTAACAAAAGATGTACACCAACACTCCTGCAAAACGTAATAAGAGAACGAGAATAAGAGCATATGCTTCGAAAGGGAAAATGTAACATCAAGAACAAAAATGACTAAATTAATGTATGGATTCCGTCCTTCTCTTATCTTGTAAATTCCAATCCAGTCCATTATGTTACATTTATCACTCAATACCCAACCGATCTTGCTACAAAACATGTACTATGTAATATCGTATTATACTCATGTCGACAAATAGCACTGAAATGTATACCTCATTCTCTATTCTTTCAGGCAGAGAGAGTAAACTGGGCCCCGGGTGCGATATTTGGAACAATATGTTTAACGGTCCTAGTACTGTTGCCTCTGTTACCAGAGCCTACTGGACACGAGCTCCCGACCACAGTTGAGGAGCTGGAGCGCTGGTACAAACAACACAGCGGCGTAAAAGGAAAGAAAAAAATCGACAATTCATTGTAGATTTAATATTACCAAGAAAATTGAGTTAACTGATGTATTTGCGCCTTTTAAAAAAAAATATTCCCTGTAAGATAATTATGCACGGCTTGTGGTTGAGGTCCTTATTTTACCATTGACTACAGATATCATTTGGAATAAATGTACAAGCGCATCACAATTTGTTGTTTATATTCATTGGACATTTAAGGACCTTGTTTATTGGATTGATTAAAATACACTGAAGTGAAAATACCTTGAGTTTCAACCTTCTCGGAAAAGACAGAGGTTCCAATGGCTTGAAGCGTGGAAGTTTATAAAGCCAGTTACGTAAAGCCACAGTCGATTAAAACAGGGAATAAATCAAATACAACAAGATGGAAATACAAACATGTAAACATAATAATGATTTAAACTCAAATTCAGTAAAACTAGGACAAAATATTAACAGGAATGTTTACACGGAAACTCTTGAAAAAGTACAAGAAAAATAAGGCTTAGTGTTCCGAAGGAGTACACGCCTTCTGCTTCATTATCAACACCCGCTTTATAAATGTTGACCAATCAAAGTAAGCAGTGTAACATTCTCAAATGAGAACAAGGTAACGAAGCCAATAAGCAAACTTACCAGCATCAAACACGTCACATTACATATAATTCCTATAAACGAGGCCACAATGACAACAAAACAGCCCTCATAATCTTCATCAACCTGTATAAATCGAAACTTTAAACCCCGTTTATGTGTTTGTCAGGTCAGTTGCTGACATCTTGGACGAAATTTGTGATTTTGGGAACAAGTCCTTGAATATCGACTGTATACATCATAGGTCGAGATTACGGTGATGTTTGCTAATTCAGAAATGGACCGATCTCAATAGAGATATTGAAATGATTATATGATGATCAAACACTTTGGTGAGTTGTTGATTCTGTTGTGTGAAAATTTCAATGTAAACGTTAAATGTAAAAGAGTCTGTCCTGCATTTTTTCCCAATTCTGGTTCGTATGTATGATGGACATGGTCCATAGACGTATCTTAATTAAATTATAAGTTATCATCAATACATATTACATATTGACGTCATCAATTATACTTAATATTTTCCCTAAATCCTCAATATAGGTAAAGAATGAATCAAGGTGCGATATCAACGTTTGTCAACATAGATATATTGAGTAAATTTCTGTCTCAATTTTTTACACTGCTGTGTATAATCATTTTCTAAATTGAAACATGGATGTGTGATGAATTCCAGCTAAATCGGCAATCAATTTGTACAAAAAGGTTTTTTGAAAACAAAAGAATCGCATCAAATGAAATCATTTCATTGTTCAAATTAATGAATATTATTCTTATGCGTGTACATTTATACATTTGTAGAAATTGGTAACAATAAGATAAAAAAAGTATAAACACCAAAAGTAATATAGATGCATATGTTATCAAAGTCAGCATTTCCTTTAAAAAAATAACTATAAAGAAAATCAAGTATTACTGTTATATTGTGTAAGTAGTAAATATACAAATGAAAACGCACACACACAAAATTTAAGTAGACCTATACATATAAGTGTTCACGTCGAGCCAGGTTTGTTTCCATACTTCGTACGAATTTAAATAAAAGTACAAGATACAAGTGCATATTTCTAAGAAAGAGTTAAGAAAAGACAACATTCTTAAATACTTGACAGTAGGAAAAATATATGATCACTTTGTCTGTGTTTCATTTTCAAATCATAAAAAAAAAATCCTAAATTCAAAACCGTTATACAATCTAAATAACCTAAATTATCCACAATATGTGGGAATGAGATATTTCCCTAATATCAATAAAAACATCCGATAAGTTGTAAACCGATATATCTAGAGACAGTTATATTTATATGTGAGTGAAATATGTGAGGTTACTGTTCAATATATCGATACATTAATCGACAACATATTTATATCGGCACATATAAAATTTAGGAATCCGCCAGTAATAGATACAGTTCATATCTGCTATTTCTTGGTTTACTTGTGTTCTGTTTTGCAATGTTTATTCTCTGAGTAATTAATGAGTATTCAATTTATCGATACTGATGACTAATCGGTGTGTACCCCTTGTATATTCATGGTTAGATTCAATTCATTATATCACCTAGTCCGCCGGAGTTCTCGGAACGGACGTGAAAAGGTATGGGTCACCTGCATGGGTACCCCGGTTTCCTGTCACAGTAAGACTCCCGCGCGTTTCAATCTGGGTCAACAAGAGTGGTTAACATGCGCTGAACGTCCTTTTTCGAATAATTGTAAACCAAATAAAGTTATATATTTAATGTATTGGTAACAATGATAATTAGTCCTTATTGAATATATCAATGATCATATTATGTTCGAGATATTAAATATTGCATTATATTAATTGTCGGTCTGTGTTTCATTGCTTGCCTCTACTGTATCTAACTCTAAATTATCAAACGGTGCTATTCACGTTTGTACAATCTTATTATCAGTTTGCATTCAGTCAGCAGTTTTGTGAAATTCAGCTATTGGTTTATCGATAGTATACTGAATTATAAACTTGATTTCACGATAGAATAGAACACAGTTTACATACCGCTATTAACATGCATTTTCTGTTTAAGTACAAGTATATGTGCCGTCGTTCATATCGTCATACCAAGCCTTAAGTCTTGATAATTTGCATTTGAAATAATTTCTTACTGACAAATGATGTAAGAAAATCATTAATGTTGATTCTTTAGATTATAGTTAGTTTACATAGAAGGTATCTGCCTGCAGGTCTACCCCGTTTGAACTGTGTTTAAATGTATGAAGTCTGGATGAAAATTTTAGAAATCCGGCTTGTCTCAATCTTCTATACAATTCTAAATTTTTGGGATTTTGTGACTTGTCTGGAAATGTATATGATATTCCGTGAGAAACTGTTTGATTCTAGGTAACATTCCACTGTCTAGCAGGTACTCAACCACTGCCCACCTCGTGGCCCTCTACGTCAATCTTCAATACGTCAAGGTCACGCTGAAATACGGAAGTGAGATACAGGCATTAAAACATCAGACACTTAGTACTGCCGTTAATTTATATAAAGCATTAATACTGCTAGATACAGCAATTGTGAAAACGTGTCTAAAATACTATCATGATGTACAGTATTAAGCTACCTTGTGTCGTAGATATTCTTGGAACATGTATTCGCTTCCTGAAACATCTTGACGCATTTCGATATTTATGTTTAAACGAAAACAAAAACAAAAACAAAAAATGAAATCTTACTTCACAACATGTACTTACATCGGCGTGACCTAATGCTGCCATTATTGATTTTAGTGTCATCACCATCCAGGTTTGCTTCTTTCTTACATATATATCTCTTCTTGCTATCAAGTCTTCAACTACCTTCACGCCAATACCAAAGAAACACATTACTAACATGAACTTAATTCAAAAATAACAAACAAATTCATGGAATTTACATAAGCACGGAAATGAACCGACCAATGAAATCAAAGGATACCTCATTAGTATGCATATTTATTAACAGATGACACTGATAGTCAACCTCAGTTTTGATGACCCAAAGATGCATCTGCTGACCAAGTTTCACCCAAATTGGATGATATTTGGGGAAGTTAGAACACGGAAACGAAAGTGTGACAGACAGACGGACGGACGGCCGGACGGACGAACCCGTTTCGGTGATGCGCTTCACAAGTTACCAACGTAGACTATTGTAGACTATGTGTGTTTCATACAAAATACACGCACACTGATGTTTCATACAAAATACACGCACACTGATGTTTCATACAAAATACACGCACACTGATGTTTCATACAAAATACACGCACACTGATGTTTCATACAAAATACACGCACACTGATGTTTCATACAAAATGCACGCACACTGATGTTTCATACAAAATACACGCACACTGATGTTTCATACAAAATACACGCACACTGATGTTTCATACAAAATACACGCACACTGATGTTTCATACAAAATACACGCACACTGATGTTTCATACAAAATACACGCACACTGATGTTTCACACATATTACCAACACACTGATGTTTCACACATATTACCAACACCCTGATGTTACACACATATTAGCAACACACTGATGTTTCACACATATTACCAACACTCTGATGTTACACACATATTACCAACACACTGATGTTTCACACATATTACCAACACACTGATGTTTCACACATATTACCAACACACTGATGTTTCACACATATTACCAACTCACTGATGTTTCACACATATTACCAACACATTGATGTTTCACACATACTACCAACACACTGATGTTTCACACATATACACAACACACTGATGATTCACACATATTAACAACACACTGGTGTTTCACACATATTACTAACACACTGATGTATTTCGCACATATCGCCAGCATCCTGACGGCTACTAATCCAAGACCAACAACAACATACGTTACAGTCCATTTTAATGATGTATCAGATCTTCCATTTGTTATCCAAGCATGTTATGATATCGTCGTATATAAACATCACATTTACTTTAACATTTATTAATAGACCCATACCTCCATTGTATTTCGAAATTTTCAAAAAAAAAAAAAATAAATAAATAAATAAAAACGTGATTACGCAAATTTTGATATTTTAATCAAGAACATGGAACACAAACATCAGAAAAATACAACTGACACCAAATTATCACATTGTTAACACATATGAAGTCGAAATAATTGACAATGTGACAATCACTCAAGTCACAGTAGACAAAAGTTACTTCTAATTTATTACATTTGAGTATAGATAGTAGTCTTACCAAACTTTATACTATTATATACAATCCACAGCTTGTGTAGAAGCTGAGGGATCTTGTATAGTGTTTCTTTAGTTTCTATGTTTGCGCGTTGTGTTGTATTGTATGTATGGCTGTTTGTTTAGTATAATATATATTTCCTATGGTTCATAATCTCAGGGGATCGGGGACGCCATATTA